TTGATGAGGAACATGGTGCTGCACAAAGCCGAGCAACGTGCATATACTTGCCCCCGGAAACTGGCCTTGCGCCTACCACGTCACTGTGGCATCTTACAATTTCAAAAAAAAATTAGAATTTGATACTCATTCATATAAATTAAATTCCTCAGTTGCAGAACTGAAAATAATATTTCTTTTATAAAGAGTTTGGAGAGAGTGGAAAAGTGCTGCTTAGAGAAATAACCAGAATCCTAAAATGATTTGGATTAGATGGGACCCTTAAAGATCATCTTGTCCAACCCCACTGGCCAAAGACAAGGACATCTTTCACTAGATCAGATTGCACAAGGCCAAATCCAACCTGGCCTTCGAGTCTTTCAAGGATGAGGAGCATCCACAACTTTTCTGGGCAACCTGTTCCAGTGTTCCACCACCCTCATTGTAAAAAAATTTCTTTCTTGTATCCAATTTAATCCTACCATCTTTCAGTTTAAAACTGTTACCCCTTGTCCTGTTGCTAGAGGCTGTACTAAAAAGTGTCTCTTGATCTTATGCGTCCTCTTTACATATGAAAGAGCTGCAGTAAGGTCTTCCTGAAAGAAGGACTTGGGGGTACTTGTGGATGAAAATTTGGACATGAGCCAGCAATGTGCACTTGCAGCCCAGAAAGCCAATCACATCCTGGGCTGCATCAAAAGAAGCACAGCCAGCAGGTCGAGTGAGGTGCTACTCCCCATCTACTCTGCTCTCATGAGACCCCAGCTGGAGTACTGTGTCCAGCTCGGGGGTCCTCAGCACAACAAAGACATGGACCTGCTGCGGTGGTCCAGATGAGGGTCAGAAATGAACCATTTAAAAGGTGAGTTTCAAATTAAGCTAATTTAGTACTACTTTTATGATTTAAAATAGAATATTGTAAATAGGACATTGTAAAATAATAAAAATAGAAAAAACATAATACTTATAGTACTTGAGTCATGTACATGGCCATGGTAGATGTATTTTACCAAACACAGAGTTACTCAGGCTGCTCCATTTTCCAGCCATGATGTCTTGTCCTCCTGGCTCAGTAGCTGCATATGAACAACTTCTGTACTCATAGAAGATGTTGGAGTCCTACTATCCATTAGACCTTTCATTGCTCATTACTGTATCAAAATAATAAAAGCTATTTCAGAATTCATCATTTGCTTTGTATTTCCAGGTGCTTTTTTTCTGAATCTTGGCTTCTTCTACATTCGGTTAAATTCTGCATGGCTGCCCTTACTCTGTTTTGATGATTTATCCAAGTGTGAATATAGCAGACAAAATCCTTGACTGAGGGTTGGTCTCTACTTAATAAACGTTACAGCATAGCATATGTCGCATCCTAGAGAGCTTGTTCAGAGTCCACTTCCCTTTTAAGACACAGTTTCTGCAGTTTCTCATGTGGACAAGTGCTGCTATGAAACTATTTGATATACTTTCATACTTCTAGGTTTCTAAAATGTAATTTGGCAGATGAAAACAGCTTGGCCAGCAGCCCCTTGCTGCATTAGTTTTCCAGGAATGATCTGTTTGTGCTCTGAAGATGACATCATAGTTCTTACTAGTACAGAGTTTAGAAGATACTTTGAAGACGTGACTGAAGTATTAGGTCATTTTCTTCATATTTTTTTTTAGGGAAGTTTTACTTGCAGTTAACTTATTAATAAAAAAAATGCTTAGCTTTACCTGAAACTCCCGCTGTGGATGTTGCCTCTGCTGGGAAGGATCCTGGGACTTGCAAAGTAACATCTTTTGACATGACTGTCAAGGGAGGAGAGATCTAAAGTCTGTGCTGAGCATCCTGGGCAATGTGCTCGAAAAGCAGCTACTTGTAAGGAGTAAATGATCCTTAAGGTGTCTTACTGTTCCACTTAATATATCTCAGGTGTCTTAGGTATTGTTTTGCTGGTGTTTTTTTTGAGTTTTGATAATCCCAGATTCTTTCTTCTATGTGATATGACATAATTTTTCAAATTTTTTGTAGTGTATCAGATCAAAAGGAAGGATTTAGTTTTCTGTAACAAAAATTCTGAATTGTAACATTTTGCTATTAATTTAATTCTAGTACTATTCCTTTTTAAAAGCATTATAAGTTATCTTCATAGTTAATGTGAAGTGAATAATATGAATAGTCATTAAAATATTTAATTTTTATTTAGCAGAATTTAAGATTCTGTAATACATACAAGGCATACTAATTTTTTAGGAAAATATTTTGCTGTGGCATGTGTGTAACAAAGTCAGACAATGTGTATTATGCAGTTTTGTTTGTGTATTTTAATACAGTGTAACCATTTCTCTCATGAGACAATAAATGAAATGAAAGAGTATACAGTCATTATGTGTAGGGGCCATTTCTTTCTGAATTGAAGCACTGTAATTAATTGATTAAAGTGTATCACCTCTTAGTTCAAGAAAAAAATACATTACTTAATTACTTAGTAAGTGGCTTTCCCTGTTTTCTCTTGATTATGTAGGATGTGTGCACACAAAGAATTACTGAGATGGTCAATTACTTTTTCTTCCTGAGTATCCGTGGTGTTTTCAAATATCATCCAGTAAAAAAGAGAGAAGTGTTTGCTCGCCAATAATTGCATTGTGAAATACAAAGACAGAGAAAAAAATGCACACTCATGCATCTCATGTGCAAATTAAATTGAAATTTCTGTTTTGTCTTTTTTCTAAAAACATCATTCTAACAGCAGCCATGAGTTTTTATGTTCCTATCTAAAACTTATTTGCACTATGACACTGTTGAGTGCTTTTCTCTCGTGAACCGTTTTCCACAGTGACTGTCCTTGACCAAACCAGAAAATGAATTTGATTTCTCTAATGCAAAAGGTAATTGGATTTCTCTTTATGGAATGCATCCCTTTAATGACTGTCTCTACTTCAGCCAATTTAGCTGCAACCGACCTGACATTGATCTGGTGATATGACTTTAAATAAATGCCAAAGCTGGGAGATGAAAGACCAACTGTCTGATATCAGAAAGAACATTTCCTGCGTCATCTTGCCATTTTCCTCAGAAAATGTCCCCTTCTTGAATGTCATTCTTAGGAAACATACTATTCTGATAATTGGCCATAGAGCAGCAGATTGCATTCTTCTACCAAATATAATAACTATTTCCCAGAAAGTGTCTGGAGAAAATATTTTGAAAATTGAATAAAAACTCTTAAAATATCTGTTCTTCTTTGCAGATATTCATTGCTATATAGACTTTCTAGGATAAAAAATCATTAATAAAGGAGTGGATTAAATCTTTACAGAGACAATGTTTAGCATTAAATATTTATCAAAATATTTATTTAGATAATAGGGATCTTATGAAAAAGTGTCATAGCATGCTGATCTGAGAA